TTGAGATTAGCTCTTTCTAAGGGGTCCAACCGAATAGGCGTCTTCCTTCCTCGCCTGAAGACGGAAACATGTCCCGTTTCCGAAACGTCGTGTCCTCTACTACCTAGAATTCCGGGCGATAGAAAAATAAAAAAAAAACCGTAATTCTGTTTCATGTAGTTTTGTCTATAGGTTTCAATTCGGAGAATCAGGCACTGCAGAAGAGTTTCTAATTCCGAGCACTGGTAGCCCCATCAGACAGAGCTGAGAAACACGTGGTCACAGCAAACAAGATACAGAACGATTGGCAAATATTTTCTCTAGCTGCTTGTTTACAGGCGCAACGACCATAAAGAACCTTCACCTAAATCCAGGCTTTCATTACGACCGGAGGAAAAGCAAAGAAGAGGAAGTGTTTGAGGAGGCGTGGAGGAGGGGTATTTTTTCGAACAACGAACTGAAATGACGCGTGTCTGGTGCACAGGTCTTTTGGCGGGGAAATTCGTAAGCAATATAGTTAATCAGACAGACATAACTTGGGATTCAAAATCATACAGATATTGAAGTACTTAATTTGAGCGCAATCAATTCCATAAGGCAGGCTGGCACCGTTCAGTTCATAAAACTGTCAGAAAAGCTAAGGGGTGGGATTTAATAATTAAGATAAAGATGTCCCTTTGCTTAACGAATTAAGCACTATGCCATGAAGACGTATGGGGCTGAATGTAAAGATCCACATTTTCTTGACCTCGGCAATAGGTGGGGGTGAATAATTACACCCACTAAAAGAAAAGTAAAGGTAAAGTTGTCCCTGTGCTTAACTAATTAAGCACTATGCCATGAAGGCGTATGGGGGAGTGGATGTATAGATCCGGATTTTCTTGACTTCGGCACTAGTTGGTGAATGGTGAGCTTCACGCCCCGGCCGCTTTACCTCCGAGAAAAGATCCCCTGGCAACCATTGGATAGGAGGCCGGGTGGGCCCCAGAGCCGGTCTGAACGAGGTAGAGAGGAGAAAATTCTTGACCCTACCGAGACTCGAACTCCGACTCCTTAGTCGTCCAGCCCGTAGCCAGTCGCTATAACGAATACGCTAACTCGGTTCCTAAAGTTATTCCTGTGTTTAACTTTTAAGCACCACGTCATGAGGGTGTATTGGGGAGTGGATGTAAAAGTCCACGTTTTGTTGACCTCGGCATTAGCCAGTCAATTTCAGTTTAATACAAAAATCGGAATGAGAAGGGATGAGTTAAGTTAGATCATATATCGATCTGTGAACGTCAATAGAAACTGCACTACTAATGCATAACTTTAATTTACGTATAAGCAGACTCTTCTTATCATAGCATCCTCCGAAAATGGTCCTATAGGACTGCAGCATGTAAGAAATTATATTATTTAATCATTTATTGAACCTTGTTATACTGGATTATTGCCTTATTCCTTAAAAATTAAGTGAAATTATTTTGTGAAAAGGATATTAGTCCCACATCCATACCGAGCAAAAGACAATAAAAAGCAAATACAAAAGAAACGAGGAAAAAATATATTTTTTAACTTCCGTTAAAATTTTGGCAAAATTGGGACAAAATAAATGGCGAATAAAGAGCAAGCAAATTGTTAGTATTTCGAATATAAAAGGATTTTAACTGACCAAAGTTAATAATTGGATGAATACCTGAAAATAATTTATTCGTTTTTATATATCCGTCAACACAGCACTCAAATAAACAACTCATTTCTATATTTTTGTCAACTGAATTTTATAAATCATTTTACAATATACATGACATTTTGTAATATGGATCCATAAGAGTTACAATTCAATATATTGTGACTTTGTATACTCTATCGCCTGATGATGGCTCCGTGAGAGCCGAAACATGTTGTGCGACTGTACCGTAAGTTAAATAAACTCAGTTGACACAACTGTGGAAGTGAGTCTTTTATTTGATTGTTGTGTTGACGGATATATAAAAACCGATATATTGATAAAACAGGATGCATTCCCTTAGGACCTGAATATAATGACAAACTTACGAATTACAGAGAGATATTCTAATAAAAAGGAGGGACGACGCCAGAATGCTGACGGCTTAAGGAAACGCCAGAACGCCTTTCAAGTTCTTCACATTTTGCTGACAATGATTTGATTAATGGTCTCTTAGAAGTTACGTGTATAATGACGTCAGAATACATGAGTACTACCGTGCACTTTTTCTTTCTCTTCTTCTGGATACATTCCCATTGGACCCATCTACTGTGCATATTTACTGTATTATTTTTCATATAAGATGTAGCTCTTGATGTCTGTGAGACTGGGCCCACTATGTTCTCAATTATTATGGAACAGCAGCTAAAACCATGGGTAAATATCCGTGCCTCGAGGAATTCGAAACCACAATACCATGTTGCTGAAAATTACGTTTAGAAACTGAAAGTTCAGTCATATGGAACATTTCTGAATAGGAAATCTATACGGTGGCAAATTTTAACTTCTTATTTTTATGTCTTATTACGTTTAATTTCTTGAATGTAACCTCATCTCTCTCTATGGTTCTATAGCCCTTTGGATCTTGGCCGTTTATTTTCAGTTTCTAAACCCTATACGGGGGATCAGCCAGTCGCAAGGCCGCTACATACACACAGAACAACGCAAACAGATATCCATGTCTTGAGATGGATTCGAACCCACGATCCAAGCGATAGAGCGAGCGAAGACGGTTCATGCCTTAGACCGCGCTACCACTGTGACCGGTATGTAACTTCATAGTCTCATAAATTAGATTAATTTTCATTCGGAATGGCTGCTGGAGAGGTCGATCAGCGGTTTATCCAAATGCAGTCATGTTTACAACGGGAAACAGCATGTTCAGTTTACTGAGTACGGTTACTCAGTAAGAAACCCGAGCATTCCAGTTCATTTCTGTTTGAGATTATGCCCTTCTGAGCTTCCAACGTACTGAGAGATTTCTTATTTTGATTACATTTTTTTGGCAGGCATATAAATATGTTACACTAGTTTCAGTGCTGACAAAAGCAGGGAAATCTGCAGAATCAGCACTTTACTTCACAGTTCTGACTCCACAAGTCTGCCTCTGATTCGTTCCAAGGGCGAGTTAGAGTTCTTTCGAGAAATAAAGGAGACCCTACAACCTCGTTATTTTTAAGCATCAGCGTCAATATAGCAAAACTTATAAACTTCCTAAATCCTTGACCGATATTAAGAATATCAGAAACAGTGGTGTTCTACAAACGTTGCACTTCAGAAACTTTGGAATCTGAGTTTCTAAATAAAAATTAATCGTAAGGAATGATAAAATTGCAGCGAGTGACTACAGTATGAACTTTATCCAAGATATTAATCATTAAGTGTCGTCAGTTAAGTAGTGTCACGAGTTGCATGACTAATAATCACGGGTTTTGGAGTGGATGATTGAATTTATTAACAACTTCTTTAAACTCTCTCCTAATCACAATCAATCTTCAGCCGAACCCTTCTTCCTCGTTCTACGACTCATTTCATTCGATTCTGTACTAATTATATAGTCTCGAGGAGGATCCATAGAAAACACATCCGTTGCCTAACAATGCATACATGCGAACCACAAAGAAAACACCTCTTCCTCTATTGTTGTATTTATAGTGCGTTGTACAACAACCGAAATTATCCGATTGTTGCCTGCGTATTTGTTGCCGTGGGAATGTGTTTACCGAGCCGTTGCCAAGCAACGGATCTTACTTACTCATGGAGCTGAGTCCTTCTTGAGGAGCCGCCAATTCTGCAGCTACTCAAGAATTTCCCAGCATTTTATGGAATCCGAAGGTTCATTACCGTGGCCAGAAGAGCCCTCAACTGGTCCCTATCCTGAGCCAGACCGATGCAATCCATCCTATCACGTTTATTACCCCCCCCCCAAATAATAATAACGGTATCTACGTAGGCAGTAAAGTAATACAAATCTGGGGGTCTAAACATTCTGCTGGGTAGGAGGGCTCACATTAATAAATCGCATAGGAATTCATACAGTTACACTACTTTCTGTTTCCCCTGAGAGAAGAACGTTGCGGTAAAGTCGTTGCTACTCACGTTTCTTTTTCGGCAGCGTCCCGGTCGGAAGGGTTAGGAGGGACACTACCCAAACCAGCTTTCCTCATCCCAACCAGGCAAATATTGTGGCTTAGATTCTTATTTTTTATTGCTAGTGGGTTGGGACTAAGTCCCTTGTACTGCGGCCACTTCTGGCCTATTGTACCAGCCCCAGATGATAGGTGAGGGTGATTGTGGAGCAATTGGTGGAATGAAGATTGGCAGGGGAAACCGAAGTACTCGGAGAAAACCTGCCCCAG